TGCGGTCACGGAGTTTGTGCACTTGGCAACAGCCAGGAAGTTGCTGCATGATTTTGAGCAAGTCAGTTCCCCTCTGGGAGCCAGCGAGGATTGGGATGCTGGCTCTGTGAGTGCCCATTCCGGCTAGCACTCCAGGAGCCCAGCCCTTTCTCACGGCGGCCTCTGGAGAAGTGTCAGTGTCCTCCTGGCCCAGCTCCCCCTTCATCCTGTGTGACGCACTTCTCTGGCACTTCTCTGGCTGGCTGGTGTGTGCCAGGAGGAAGTGATGGCAGTTAGGCAAGAACTTAATGGGCTCACTTGGGCAGGAAGACGGGCTAGGGTCTGCCTTCCATCCCTGCATCTCCCGAGGGGAACTGCTTCTTCAATAACCCCCACACCCAGCCAGGCCAGCATCTCTGAACGCACATCTCCCTCTTCCCCTGGCACCGGTCGCCCGGGGACAGCCCCAGATGGCTCCCTGGCCCTCGGGACAAAGGCCACACTGTGCCCAGCCCTGGGCTGGCTTCAGGCTGGGTGACACTGAGCCGTTCTGTCCCCTGATGCGGGTGAGGGGCCGACTGCACGAAGGTAACAGGCCTTTTTCCTGTCTCCCTTCCCCCTTGACCCTCAAATCTGAGGAGCTGACGCTCCCAAGAAAGAAGTGACAGAGGCATCTTGTGTCCTGAGCTAGGAAACAACAGATCATTCACTGCCCAGTCTGCCCTGTCACACTCAGACCCTGCTGGGTTCAATGCCCCAATTGTCCCCATCGGAGAGCAACGTCCACTCTCTGCGGTGGTTACCGCCGCCTGCCCCCCGGCCGCCATCAGGAGGCCCATCCTGATGTCTCGCCCCCATCGCTGCTGCTGCAGTGGCAGCCACTTCCTCTCTGTCTCTTCTCAGGCCGCTGAGAGCAGCTGGTCCCCTGTGTTGTCTGCATCGCTTGGCTCCGCATTCCCGCTTAAGTCTCCAGTTTCACTCTTTCCATGCCTCCTGGTCCCTTGCTCCCAACTTAGCCACGAGGAGAAGGGCGGGTGGGATTCAGGCTGGTTCTCCTTTGTCTTGTAGAAATTGGGGACTTCCCTCCCACAAGGCTTCTGATGAGTTTCCCTCCCACTCCCCTCCAGGCAAGAGCAAGGGCATCAGATTTATGGCAGCTCCTGGTGGATTCCTGAGTCACCAACTCAACCTGCCATCCCATAAATCCCAGACTGTAGGATGGCTTTTTGGGAAGCCCTGTTTCTGGAAGAGGGCATGACTGGCCCCGCCTTGGCGGAACACAGACCTCAGGAAGCCCAGTGCCCAGTTCCCCCACCCACTAGGATGATCATGACTGAGCTTGGGGCATCAGTTTGTGCAATGCAGTCATTTCCTCCCCTCCCAGGGGGGGTCTCACCCTCCGCTCAGCGTTCACTCCACCTTCCTGTGGCTCCCCCACCCCCTGGATTCCCCATCTCAGCACATTAGGGCCATCTGGAAACCTGGGCAGAGTCCATCCCTTACCTGGACCTCAGCTACTTCCCAACCATGGCTCCAATGTTCAGACCACTGGGGATGGTTTTTAAAAACACATTTTCCCAGGCACCACTCTCAGAGCCTCAGTTCTAGAATCTGAGAGTGAAACCGAGCAATTGGAATTTTTTCTGATGCTCCTTGCTGATGCTGATGTTCAGCCAACTTGTAAACAGGTGGTCTGTGCAATGGGGAGATCTCTACTCTCCCGTCGTGTGGGAGGTGTGAGCAAACACGCAGGGCATGTCGAGGTCCTCCTGTCACTGGAACCTACATGCTGCCTCCATCAGGAAGCCCCCGTTCCTGCTCCTATTTCCCTGCGAGCTCCACACAAGAGTGAGGTGGCTGGCAGCCTCTGGGAGCTTTCTGTCCTTGAGAATCCTGCAGACTGTGGGCTCGGGACATCACATGGAGCCTGGAGGAGTGGCTGAGGTTGACTGATGGGGATGAGCTTGGAGATGGAGAAGCAGGGAAGTTCCAGGCTGGTGAGGTTTGCAGGGAAGCTGCAAGAGGAGTTCTCAGCTACCTTCTCACCTCAGGAGCCCTCACAGCCCCAAGCCCCTTGAGAAGAGGGACCAGCCTTCACTCACCACTAGCCCCAGGGCCTGGCTCTTCGTTTGTTGGGCTGAACTGAGTGAGACTTCAGGGCCCACTGGCAGAGATAGGCTCAGCGGGCAGTGTGGACCTGAGGCCTATACTCTGAGAGCTGCCAGCCCGAGGAAGCAGGGGGTCTGGGCTCCGGAGAGCTGGAGGGTCGCAACTTAGCTGCCTTTGGGGGCAGCCAGGAGCCAGGGGAAGGACCCTTTCCAGGTTGGCTGAGGACAGAAGGATGTGATCATTATGCAAAGTAAACATGTTACTGACCCATCATCCCTTAAACCAGGATTCAGGAGGGGCCTGGTTGCCTTGGCAACTGGTTACTGGCCAGTGACAGTGCTGAGAGCATCCTCTGGGGAGGGGCCATGCTTGGTGCATGGGTGAAATCCGGAGAGAGTGCAGGGTGGTCCCTTTCTCGCAGGGCTGGCCCTGATGGCTTCTTGGCAGGCGTTGGGGGCTGGGTGTGCCTGGTGAGGCCTCTTGATCCCGGCCCCACTGTAGCCGAGGGAGAAGTGGGCAGAGCAGAATGAGGGGGCGGACACACTGGAAGCTTATGAAGCCACGGAGGGAAGGGAAGGGGAGGGGAGGGGAGGGGAGGGGAGGGAAGGGAAGGGAAGGGAAGGGAAGGGAAGGGGAGGGGAGGGGAGGGGAGGGGAGGGGAGGCGTGACAGCTCCACTCTGAGTTTTCAGGGCAGAACAGAGAAGGAAGAGTCGGTGTGAAGAAGCAGTGGCACCAGTCCCACTGAGAGGCCAGCAGGGTGTCCCCTTCTCAGAGTCCAAGACGGCTGCGGAGCCTAGGCAGGGAACTGGCTGGGGAAGGGGCCCTGGGGTGAGCAGACAGCCTGCCCCGCTGCTTCATGGTCTTCACTGCAGTGGATGCCCTGCCTGCTGGCTTCTGTATGGGAAGGGCAGACAGTGCTCTGTGTCCTCTCCCCACGGGGCTCTGTCTGTTGCCGGCAAATTTCTGTCTTTTCCCTGAGACATTCAGCTTCTCCAGACCTCCCATATTTCAGCAGGAGATATGGGAGCAGGGCCAGCTCGGATGCACACATCCTCCCCTCATCCCTTTCCTCTCTTTTCCCGTCTCCAGGGAACTCACAGCAAACTGGAGAGGGGCTTCTAGGTGTCAGTATTAGGATGAAAATGTTTGGGCCAGACTGCATATTCGGCCTCCTTCACCTAAGTTGGTAAAGAGCTGCTGGCCCAGGGGCCACCTGGCTCTGGTGTCCCCCCTGCCCCCCCCCCCCCACCCCCAGCCTCCTTCCAGAACTCTCTAGGCCTCCAGCAGCTAAAAGGCTACTGTCCAGCCCTGGGGAGACGTTCAGGATCCTATTGGCTCATCAAATCACTATTGTGAGCAATACTTTTCTCTGCTTCCTGTTATACCTGTTATATCCTGTTATACCTTCCTGTTATACCTGTGACTATCTCCCCAGGGGCAGGGAATCCAGAGGGGATAAGATTCCCAGGAAGGAAGATGGTTAGCAACATGTCGCCCTGGCCCCCAAGTGCAGGGTGATTGTCAGAGCTTGATGGGAAGACCCAGGATTCTCACTTGGTGTCAACGAGACCCACTGCACGTTCTCACCCGTTCTCATCGTTCTCACCGTTCACACCGGTTCTCACCATTCTCACCCGTTCTCACTATTCTCACTCGTTCTCATCCATTCTCGCCCGTTCTCACCGTTCTCATCATTCTCACCGTTCACACCCGTTCTCACCCGTTCTCATCATTCTCACCGTTCACACCCGTTCTCACCGTTCTCACCATTCTCATCTGTTCTCACCCGTTCTCACCATTCTCCCCCGTTCTCACCATTCTCATCTGTTCTCACCCGTTCTCACCGTTCTCACCATTCTCACCCGTTCTCACCATTCTCCCCCGTTCTCACCATTCTCACTGTTCTCACCCGTTCTCACCATTCTCCCCCGTTCTCACCATTCTCATCTGTTCTCACCATTCTCACCATTCTCACCGTTCTCACCCGTTCTCACCGTTCGCACCCGTTCTCACCATTCTCACCATTCTCATCTGTTCTCACCCATTCCCATCATTCTCACCCGTTCTCACCTGTTCTCACCATTCTCATCGTTCTCACCGTTACACCCGTTCTCGCCCATTCTCACCGTTCTCACCCGTTCTTGCCTGTTCTCACCATTCTCATCGTTCTCACCCGTTCTCATCTGTTCTCACCCGTTCTCATCATTCTCACCCGTTCTCACCATTCTCACCCGTTCTCACCGTTCTCACCGTCTCACCCGTTCTCACCCATTCTCACCGTTCTCACCCGTTCGCACCCGTTCTCACCATTCTCACCATTCTCATCTGTTCTCACCCATTCTCATCATTCTCACCCGTTCTCACCGTTCACACCCGTTCACACCTGTTCTCACCGTTCTCATTGTTCTCACCGTTCTCGCCCGTTCTCACCATTCTCATCGTTCTCACCGTTACACCCGTTCTCACCCGTTCTCGCCCATTCTCACCGTTCTCACCCGTTCTTGCCCGTTCTCACCATTCTCATCGTTCTCACCCGTTCTCGCCCATTCTCACCGTTCTCACCCGTTCTCACCATTCTCATCGTTCACACCCATTCTCACCGTTCTCATCCATTCTCACCCATTCTCACCATTCTCATCTGTTCTCACCCGTTCTCATCATTCTCACCGTTCTTGCCCATTCTCACCATTCTTGCCCATTCTCGCCCGATCTTACCGTTCTCATCCATTCTCACTGTTCTCACCCGTTCTCACCATTCTCACATGTTCTCAGCCGATCTCACCCGTTCTCACCGTTCTCACCCATTCTCACCCGTTCTCACCGTTCTCATCCATTCTTACCGTTCTCACCCGTTTTCACCGTTCTCATCGTTCTTATCCGTTTTCACCTGTTTTCACATCTCCTGTCCCAGGACCTGCTGCTGCTCCCTGCTGATCATGAACAAGATGAAGAACTTTAAGCGCCGCTTCTCCCTATCCGTGCCCCGCCCGGAGACCATCGAAGAGTCCTTGGCGGAGTTCACAGAGCAGTTTAACCAGCTCCACAACCGGCGCAACGAGGGTGAGGGGTCTGGGGCCCTTTCCCCACCCCTCCCCTCCCCTGCCTTCCCACACACCAGCACGACTGGCCCTGGTGGGGAAGGACAGAGGTCAGGGTGGACTGGACTCCCCACTCTGCCCCCACCCCGGGGCAGAGGCCGGGAGGGTAGCTGATGCGTCTCCCTTCAGACCTGCAGCTTGGTCCTCTTGATGGAGACCCCCAGCCAGAGTCCAGCGCCTTCTCCCCCACAGACAGTGGGGAGGACCGCGGGCAGCCATCCCCAGGTGTGCAGTACCGGCGGCAGAACCAACGCCGCTTCTCCATGGAGGTGAGGGGCTCCGGGCTCTATGCTGTGGGTGTGATAAGAGACACATCCACAAGTGTGTGTGCCCAGGAAGGTGGTTGCCTTGGGGCCAGACTTCAGAGATTCAAATCCCAGCTCTGCTATTGATTAAATCTGTAACTTTGAGCAGGTTACTCAGCCTCTGCATATGATCATGATGAAGATGAAATCAGTTAATATATGGCACGTGCTCAGAACATTCCTGGTACACAGCAAGGGCTAGACAATTTGACTACTGTTCTTATGGCCCATATCCATGTGCCCAAATGTATGAAAAACAGGCTTACAGAAGCACAGTGTTTACAGGAATCTCATGCTACAGATGGTGACTCTGAGGCCCAGAGAGCACACGGGACCTCCTGAGATCACCCAGCACCACCTGGATGTTCATGTTTGTCTCTGAGCACAACTTTGACGCAATCCCCACCCATGATTCAATCCTGCTAGGATTGGTCACAGGGGAAGCGAGACCCAGGGTGGGAGATGCAGGCCCCACAAGCCCTGGCTACCCGGGAGCAAACTCGGACACCTTGTCTCATCCTGGCCCCTACAGGACATCAGTAAGAGGCTCTCTCTGCCCATGGACATCCGCCTGCCCCAGGAATTCCTACAGAAGCTGCAGCTGGAGAGCCCAGACTTGCCCAAACCGCTCACCCGAATGTCCCGCCGCGCCTCCCTGGTGAGTCCTAAGAGGGTCAGAGGTCACCAGAATGGCCACCCACTCCCCTGCATGGTCCTGGGTTTGCCTGTGCCAGCTGAGGCCTGCAGCGGTTTTCTGCTGCGAGGTTTCTGGGCCTCTGGCGCCACCTCCTGGCCAGAGAGGATTCCCACAGCAGATCTTCCTTTGTCAACCTCCGTTCCCTATTTGGGTCCCACCAGTGATGGAGCTGGGCTCCAAGCCCACTACGGGTTCCAGAGTCTTCACTGAGATGAGATCAGTAAGCAAGTTGGCACGTGTTTCCGAGTCTTGGCCTGTCAGATTTCCTTGGGAGCATCTTACAAAACACTGATTCTTATCCCCTGTCCAGATGCCTACAGAATCACTCTGGGTGGTGGGTCCCGGGAATCTGTTCTTTTAAGGGTTGGGTAGTGCTGAGTGAGAGCAAGTGTGCTTATGGGAGGCTGTAGGGAGGTGGGTTCTGAACTGGACACTCAAGGTGCGGTGACAAAAAAGGCACGGTTCTTGTCCTTGAGGGGCTTCTGAGCAGGATGGAGACAGGTGATGAAGGCGTGTGGCAATCCCAGGCCAACACCCTGGGTCCCTGCACTGCCATGGGAGAAAGTAACTCACTCCCAGGGACAGAGAGAAGAGGGGGAGAGAACGACTGGCACTGCCCTCCCCCGCTCGCCTCGGACCCACAGGGTCTCGTTCCCTTCCCACCTGGAGCCCGGGGTGGGGAGGTTGACTGATGTGGGGGCCTCCAGGCTCACGGACCCTTTGTCTCTCTCTCAGTCAGATATCGGCTTTGGGAAACTGGAAACATACGTGAAACTAGACAAACTGGGAGAGGTAAGAGGCCAGGTTGCCAGGCAGGATGGCGAGGAGGAGGAAGGGGGTCTCCCCAGCCTCCCCTGGTCTGTGCTCACACCCCTGCCCACAGCTCCTGCCATCCACGCTCTTGGCCATGCAGTCTGTCTGGCCCTGCCTTTGGCAGGTGTTAAGGTGAGCCCAGGTCCTGGCGGAGGCCCTGAGGATGGAGTGGCTGATGGACTCTGGGGCACAGTGCAGTCTTTTTATTCTGCAAGTATTTCATGCCTGGGATCATGTCCCAGCTCCACTGTTGGCTAGCTGTGTGGCCTGGGGTGAGGTCTGGGGTGACCTCCCCACTGTGCCTTGGTTTCCCCCTCTGTCAGTGGAAGTGGTAACTGTTCTACCTCATGGGGTGCTGTGAGGACTGAGGAGGTCCCTAGAATAAGCTTTTGTGCTGTGTATTTACTGGCTATTTCCATTATTACTGCATTGGCCTTTGTGTTCCAGGCTGGGGGTGGGCAGTGGTTTACAGAGAGGAGGAGGGTGTAGCCCTATCCTTCTAGGAAGTCAGAGGAGACCTGCCTGTAAACATTGGCAGAATATAAGGAAGAAAAAGCTAGTGCTGTTATAGAGGGGCACCTCACCTGCTGGGAGCTTACAGGAGAGACGTTCCTTCTGACCAGGGAGGAGTTAGGGACAGCTTCACAGACAAGCGGGCTTTGGAGGAAAGGGAGTTTCAGTGAAGGGTAGAGGGCGGGGAGGGTAGGCAGGGCGTGCATGCCAAGTTACTTCAGTTGTGTCCGCCTCTCTGAGACCCCATGGACTGTAGCCCACCAGGCTCCTCTGTCCGTGGGACTTCCCAGGCAGGAGCACTGGAGTGGGCTGCCATCTCCCCCTGCTGTTGGCAGGGCAGTCTGGCCCACCTCACGGCCCAGGCAAAGGCACAGAGAGGAGGGCGCTGGACAGAGGAGAGCCGGCCCTGAGTGCGGTTCTTGCTCCCAGGGAACCTATGCCACGGTCTTCAAGGGGCGCAGCAAACTGACGGAGAACCTCGTGGCCCTGAAGGAGATCCGGCTGGAGCATGAGGAGGGGGCGCCCTGCACCGCCATCCGCGAGGGTGCGCCCCGGGGTCCTGCGGGCTGGGGGCACCAGGGGCCAGGAGACGTGGCTGGGGCGGGGCCTCCGAGGCGGATCCCCGGAAGAGGGTGAGGGGCAGGCGGGGCTCAGGCGCACCTGTCGCCCGCAGTGTCTCTCCTGCGGAACCTGAAGCACGCCAACATCGTGACGCTGCATGACCTCGTGCACACCGAGCGCTCGCTCACCCTGGTGTTTGAGTACCTGGTGAGTGCGCGGGGCTGGGGCGGGCTGGCCCCGCCTGCCCCCAGAGGCCCCAGCCAGGGACTGCCGAGGGCCCAGGCTCGGGGGTTCCCACTCGCCGGCTGGGCCCTGCCTACGGGAGGGCTTCTGGCCAGGGATTGGTCAGTGTGGGGCTGAGCCAGGCCCCGTGTTCCAGGACCGAGACCTGAAGCAGTATCTGGACCACTGTGGGAACCTCATGAGCATGCACAACGTCAAGGTGAGAGCCTCCTTGTCACAGACCGCCCCCCACCCCCCAGGGCCGGCGTAACCCTCCCCGCACATCTGTCCTTGGACCGCCCCCCCCGCCCCCCCCCCCCGCAGGGCTGGTGTAACCCTCCCCACTTCCAACACATCTGTCCTTGGACCGCCCCCTCCCCCCCCCCCCCCCAGGGCTGGTGTAACCCTCCCCACTTCCAACACATCTGTCCATGGACCGCCCCCCGCCTCCCCCAGGGCTGCTGTAACCCTCCCGGCTTCCAACGCATCTGTTTCTGGACCGCCCCCGCACCCAGGGTCGGTGTAATCCTCCCCACTTCCAGCACATCTGTCCATGGACCAACCCGCCCAGGGCTGGTGTAACCCTCCCCGCTTCCAACACATCTGTTTCTGGACCGCTCCTCCAGGGCTGGTGCAACCCTCCCCGCTTCCAACACATCTGTCTATGGACGGCCCCCTGCTGGGCTGCTGTAACCTTCCCCGCTTCCAACACATCTGTTTCTGAACCGCCCCTCCAGGGCCGGTGTAACCCTCCCCACTTCCAACACGTCTGTTCATGGACCACCCCCGCCGGGGCCGGTATAACCCTCCCCGCTTCTAGCATGTCTGTCACTTGAGAGCACGAGTTCCCTGCCAGGGTGAAGAGGAGCTTCTGGGGAAGCTCGGAGGAGTGAATGGCCTCCTCTGTGTGCGCACACCGGGCGGGCTTCCCGACCCACAGTGGCCCCTCTCAGCTCCCCGCTAGAGTGCTCTCTCCTGCCCACCCTCCTGCCTCCTCTGCCTGCCCGGTGCCCTCCCCTCTGGGTGGGGCCCAGGGCGGGGCATCCAGGTGGGCAGGAGAACCAGATAGCCTCCAGTACCTCACCTGCACCCGGTCGTGTCCCCCACCCCGTCCCAGCCCCGGGGCAGAGGTGCAGGCCCCCTTGCTCCCCCGCCGGGGGGCGTGCTCCCGCCTCGGGGTGTGCTCCAGCCTCGGGCTGCCCCCTTCCCTCTCTCCCTCCAGATTTTCATGTTCCAGCTGCTCCGGGGCCTCGCCTACTGCCACCGCCGCAAGATCCTGCACCGGGACCTGAAGCCCCAGAACCTGCTCATCAACGAGAGAGGGGAGCTGAAGCTGGCTGATTTTGGTGAGGGCCAGAGCCTGTGGGGCTGGGAGGACCTGACAATCTCTCCGGGATGCGGGTGCCGTGGAGCGGGGAGGTGCAGTGACGGTTTGCTCCTAGGACTGGCCCGGGCCAAGTCAGTGCCCACGAAGACCTACTCCAATGAGGTGGTGACCCTGTGGTACAGGCCCCCCGACGTGCTGCTGGGGTCCACGGAGTACTCCACCCCCCTCGACATGTGGTAAGCCAGCCTGTGGGACATCCCAACTCGCCTCTGCTGCCCCACGGGCTTCTTCAAAGGGCTGTCTAACTTCCTTTGAATAAAAGCTATGTGGCATCCTACTGAACTGGATGTCAGAGAACTAAGTCAAAGCTACATTGGGGTTTCCCTGGTTCTCAACAGACTGTGCTGGGCTGTGCTTCTGAAATACCCCCCAGGAGTACATAGGGGGTCACCAGAGGGTGCAGGAGGGCTCCCATAGTGCATATGATGAATCTTCCCCAAGCATCAGTTCTGCTGAAAAATTTAGAAGGGATGCATGCTTTTTGTGTTAAAATTAACACACACAGGATTCAGTGTAGAATGAAAAGTTGGCCCAGGTTTCCAGGTAAAACACAGGTCTGCGATGAATGGCCTCTGCGGTCTGCAGGGGTTTCCTTGGAGAGTGGATCTGTGGACTTCTGTCTTCCTGTGCAGGTACACGATGGACAAAGTTTGAGATAGCGCAGCTTGAAGAGCCGCCACAGGAATGCTGGCTATGCAGACACAAACCCTACAGAGTGAAAGGGAGAGAGCTCAAAGTGTCCTGGAGCCCAGAGGCTCCCTAGACGGAGACTGCAGGGGGGGCGGTGCTGTGCTAGGGGCCTCGGCACCCTTAGGGGCCCCCACCCCCATGCCATGACCCACTGGAGCCTCCGTGGTGGCGGATCCTGGGGGAGCAGCTCCAGGGAGCGCGGGTGCAAGGAGCCCCAGGCTGACACCAGCCCTGCCCATCACTTCCTGCAGGGGTGTGGGCTGCATCCACTACGAGATGGCCACAGGGAGGCCCCTCTTCCCCGGCTCCACGGTTAAGGAGGAGCTACACCTCATCTTCCGACTCCTCGGTCAGTCTCCTGCCTCTCCCTACGTCTCACCTCGAGGGGGCACCAGCACCCCGTCCAGCATGGACGCTTCCTGGGTCGGGCAAGATCCTCCAGGGTGGGGGTCCCGGTGGCCTCGGCCACTCTCTGCCCCCACCTCCTCCCTTGCCCCCCACCCCACGTCACCCTCAGCCCTGGCCTCTCACCCTCCCAACCCCTTCTCATCTCCCCAGGGACCCCCACGGAAGAGACGTGGCCCGGGGTGATGGCCCTGTCCGAGTTCCGAGCCTACAACTTCCCCCGGTACCTCCCGCAGCCGCTCCTCAGCCATGCTCCCAGGTAGCCTGTCCTCCCCGCTCCTTTCCGCTGTGGTCCTTACAGTCCCTCGGGGAAGCTGTCTTGGGGCCCGCCACACCCCCACAGGCCTGCACTAGCTCCTTCCTCCCGCAGGTTGGACCCTGACGGCATCAACCTCCTGAGCGGCCTCCTCCTGGTGAGTGTGCTCCCTGTCGGCCGGGGCCCAGCAGGCAGGGAGCTGAGCCTCAGGACGACACCCTGGCCCCCAGCCCCAGCCCCGGGCCCAGGTTAGGGCTCCCTGGGACCCCCAGCCCCCCGGTATGAGAGGAGCGCCGGCCTCCCCAGGCTTCAGAGCGGGCGTGCTCCAAACGGAAACCCCAGTTCAAACCCTAGCTGTGTAGCCGTGGGCGGGTTACAGAACTTAGCTGTGCCTCGCTTCGCTCAACTGCACAGTAGAATCACTCACACCTTGTAAGATGGATAAAGTGAGGTTGTTGAAGACACTTTGAACGGTGCGTGTCTTGCGTAAGCCCACGGCAAGGGTGGTGGTTGCTGTTCCTTGTTAGCATTGCTGGTACTCACGTTATAACTGTGTATGCTTTCACATCTGTGTCTCCATCCCCCAAGGAGGTCATCCTCTTTAGGTCCCACGTCTGGTTCTCTCCTGGTGGCTGGGGACCTGGGACCCTGGGCTCTGGGCCGGTCTTGAGCTGGGCTAACAGCTGACCCCAGGGGTTGCTCAGCTCAGACTGGCTCTCCATCTGGACTAGGGGACTTAGCCTAGAGGTCCCTGCAGCCGCCCCACTCTGCCTTTCAGTATGAATCCAAGAGCCGCGTGTCAGCAGAGGCGGCACTGAGGCACCCCTACTTCCGGTCTCTGGGGGAGCGTGTGCACCAGCTTGAAGACAGTGAGTGTGAAGGGGAGGCTGGGGGGGCCTTCCTGGACCCGGGAGCGGGGCAGCGGGTCTGGGAGAGGAGGGAGCAGAGCCCAGAGCCCAGAGCCCAGGGCTCGGGTCTGGCTGAGCATCCTGGCTCCCCCTGCCGGGTTTTCCTTCGTAACAAGGGGCGCGCACCCGGTCATCCTGGGGCTGCCAGCCCCGACTGAAGGGGTGCCCCCAGCTCCCTGCGCATGATGGGCGAGGGGCCGCAGACTGCAGGAGCGAGACCTGTTCACTGAGCCATCTCCTGGCCTGTGCCCTCTCTGCCCACAGCCGCCTCCCTCTTCTCCCTGAAGGAGATCCAGCTCCAGAAGGACCCCGGCTACCAGCGCCTGGCCTTCCAGCAGCCAGGTAGGGGCCTGTCCTCCCCACCGCTCGCCCCTATTAGAGGAGGCCAGGGTGGGCAGCGCTTGCCTCCTTGAGGAACAGAGAGAGGGCAGGGAGACGGGGGATCCTGTCTTCCGGGGACCTGCAGGGAGGGGGGCAGGGCCGGTTTCCCTATCTCCTGCCCAGGCTTCCTCCCTGTGTGTTCCTCCTCAACCCCCAGTCCAGACAGAACGCCGCGTCTGACAGTAGCCCCAGGAAGGGGCGCCTGTTTCCTGGTGCCTTCTCTCGGCAAATTCTGAGCTCTGTATGTAGCCTCTATCTTGGGAGAACTGTACTTATTTCCAGGCTAGCTGATGGCCTCAGACGTGATAAGTGCTTTCCACGTAGCATCTTATTTAATCCTAAAATTTTCCTTGAAGTTGATACCATTGGCTAGCACTCCCCATTTCTCAGGCAAGGAGACTGAGGCTCTGGGAGGTTGAGTTGCAATTTCACACAGCTGGTGAGCAGAAGGGATGGGATTAGACCTCAGGACTGACCAGCTCCCGAGTGCATATTCTTGCTGGGTCTGGCAGAGCAGTCCACCCCTGCTGATCTCAGGCGACCTTGGCCCCTGCCTGCTCCTTGCAGCCCCACATCTTTCCTTCCGTTTTCCAGGGCGAGGGAAAAACCGGCGGCAGAGCATCTTCTGAGCTGCGCCCGCCCTGCTGTGGCCCAGGGGCGAGAGGTCACTCCATGCACAGCTGCGGCGGGATGGGGCCCACGCGGCCTCGGAGGACAGACGAGTGCGGGCTAGTGGCCGGCCCAGGAGACCTCGGGCAGCCCTGCTGGCCGTGGCTGCTTCCTCTCCCTGCTTCCCACATGCCTCCCCGGTGGCCTTGGCCCAGACACCAACCCCTCCACCGCCTGCCCTGGGGCCAGGCATGAGCTGCTTCCCTGGCAAGAGGCGGTGGGCAGAGAGGACCTCAGGCACTTTCCCACCTTGAAGCCCTGGGGCACCCGCGGGGAGCCCACACGGACCGGGGAGTCCAGAGGCCGAGCTGAGCGCTGTGCCCTGGATACGGGCACCACCGTGCCCGCCGACCTCCTGGGGGCCTGCCTGCCTGCCTCACCAGTTTGGTCGAGACCCTTTCAGGCCCCCTGGGAGCCTGCACATCTTCCCCCAGTTTCCCCTCCAAGGGCAGGAAGTGACATGGCACCTTGTCTGGGACTTTGGAACCCTGAGTGCCAACGTTTGTGCCAAAGCCCCTCCCACCTGAGGGGGCGGGTGTCTGCAAAGGGACAGAGCCACACCCCCTCTCCCATCGCTCCGCTCCTCGCCAGGGGCCCTGTGTGCTGCTGGGTGGCCAGCCGAGTCCCGCGGGGCCCTGGCCCCCAGCCGCGCTACTGCAGCTTTGAGGAGCCCACCCTCCCCCCAAGTCTGAGCAGGATTGCCTTAAACTGCAGGCGAGAGAGCACGCACTGCCCTGGGAGCTCTGCCTCCCGCTCCTACCTGTCTGCCCTCTCCCCAGAGCTTTTCCTGCTCACCATCCCCAGGTGCTGGTGGGTCCGCCCTGCACCAGCGTCCTGCGGGCAGCTCCCGGGTGTGCAGGCTCACCCTGAGCCTGGTACCAGGCCGGCCCCAGCTCTGTGGTGTTGGCACAGCCTCCCTCCTCCTCCCCAGTGCCCGTGGCTCTGTCCTTGCTCTGGCCTGTCTGGAGCCTCCCCATGCCCAGAGGAGAACGCGCCCACAGTCTGAGGTGCAGGAAGGTGGGATGGGATGGGGTCAGCTCTTACCCTGAGCCCCAGGGTACCGGGAGTGTGCAGGGCCATGGCCCCCGAGAAGGCACCTCTACCCCCCATGGAGCACGCCTCTTGTATTCCCAGAGTCTCAACACTGGGCTGGGTCTTAGATGTCAAGGCCAAAGGGAGGCCAGGCCGCCTGCCCAACCCCCTTCCGCCTGAGGAGCGGCCCTAGAGGGTCTTGGCTTCCCCATAAGTGCCCCCCCACCCCCCACCACTGTACTGTGAATGTCCTGTGACTCAGCATAAAGACAGATAATATATTTAATTCATGTACAGAAAGGAGTGAGCAGTCTCCTGCACAAAAGCTGATGCTGACAAACTGATGCCAGAGGTGGAGGACGGAAGGGCCTCCCCAGGCCTCCTGAGTGCAGGCCGGGCTTGTGTCTGTGTAGATAAAGGGGGAGAGTTTGGTTAGTGTGTGTCCCTGAGCCCACTCGGGGCCATGGGCATGGTGCCCTGTATTCTCCCTGCTGTGTTCTGGATGCTGCTGCCTTCAGGGCTGGGAATCAGTCCTGAGTACCCTGGGGTGGGTGCAGGAGAGGCCTGGGGCTTGGTGCTGTCTGTAGCCGCCGTGGCCCGAGTTGCTGCCAGGGGTCCCGGGGAAGGGTCTGGGTTCTGTCTGATGTAGCTGACCTTTGTGCTCCCCCAACCGAGTGAGTCTCTGACTTCTTGGGAGGCAGGGAGGAAGGTGTAAGAGCGGGTTGATGTGGAGAATGGTCAAGGCCAGCACAGCAGAACTAGGGCACAGACCTTCAGTATTTCTGGCCCAACGGTAACTGCACAGACCTGACTCCCGTTCCCGCTTCCCAGATGCCCCCTTACCTTGGATCTGTTCACATCTCCTTTCACACTCACCTCCCAGAGTTCTCAGCGTCGTGCTGTTTTCCAGTTCGGTGTCCAGGTTTGTTCTCCCCAAGACCACCCTGAGAATGTCCGGCTGCAAACCACGCCTCCTGGCTGTGTCTAATGCCTCACATCTGGCCGTGAGAACTTTCCAGTTTGCTGGCACGCGTGAGGGGCCAGCTGCTTCCCAGGGGAGGAAGCTTGTGTTGAGAGGTTGGGTGGTGTGCCCCAAGACCATGGACGCAGAGGGTGGATCAGGGCCTGGTTCTCAACATTGATTCTGCCAGCCTTAATCCCCTCACCTCCTACAGGCAGCCGGTCACCAAACTGGAGGGCAGGGGCCAGGAACCATGTTGGTGGGGATCTGCGTTGGGCTTTTGAGGTTGAATTTGGGAGGAGACGAGCAAGACCTGAGGTTTGCTAAGGTCCCGACTGTGCCTCCGCTGTGCGTCTCGTCAAAGCCTCACAGCAGCCCCCTTTCTGCCCGCTTTCCTGGTGAGGACAGTAAGTTTCCCCGGGGTTAAATGGCCCGCCTGGGGTCCCACGGCGAATTAAAGTCCAGGCCTGTCAGCGCCGCAGCTGTGGGTCTTCACGGAGGGCAAAGAGGGGAGAGGGGCAGGCCGGAGGAGCACACGACAGGGATGTTGGAGCGGACGCTGCTTCGCTGCAGCTCCTCTCGGGACCGGAGGCCACCGCCGTGCCCCGGGCCATGGCACACAGGGGTTCATGCAGGCGCCGGCCCCTTTGAGAGTCTGGAGGGGCAGGGCGGCCGCTCTTGCTGCGGCAGCTCCTCTCTGCTCTGGAGGCCGAAGGGGTCGGGGGGACTCTGGGGGTCTCTGTGCAGACATCACAGCACTCTGAGTTTCTGTCCCAGAAAGCTCCAGGGTGGAGTTGGGGGGGGCGCCCCCCAGGCCTCATGTGTAATCAGTGCCTGCGGGAAAAGGACTTTACCGGATAAGGAAGCTTGGTGGCGTGATGGTTGTGAGCGGCTGGGGCAGACAGGCCTTGAGGGCCGTCCTCAGCCTCTCCGGTGGCCCGACCACCACCACCCGGGCCAGGTGTCCTGGGGCCTCTGTCTTCTGGGCGCCCCCCCATCGTTCTCACATGCCTCTCCCGAGAGGTGGCCTGCCCCTGGGCCGGAGCCCCTGGCCCAGCGTCCCCCAAGCAGTGGCCTGCCCCTGGGCCGGAGACCATGGCCCAGCGTCCCCCGCAGCGGCGGCCTGCCCCTGGGCTGGTGTCCCTGGCCCAGTGTCCCCCACAGCGGCTGACCATCTCCCCCTCTGGCCACCCTTTGCCCTCCTCTGCCCCTGGGATGAGTCAGGAGCACCTGGGGCGCCCGCGGCCTCTCCCTCCACCACACCAGGCCGTCCGCAAGGGCATGGCACCCTGCAGGGGCCCTCAGCTCCAGGAGGTCGGCTTCAGCGGTGGCTGGAGAGGGCGGCTGGGCTCCGTCCTGCAGCAACCCCACCCTGCCGGCCCTGGGGCTGCCTCTGCCCTTCCTGTGGCTCAGTCACGCCGTCCCTCTGGGCTGGGTCCAGTGGTCAGGGCTGCTGGTCTGACCACGGGTCACTGCCCTCTTTGCCTGCTGGGCTCCAGGTGTGGGACACGTGCTGGACCTCCTTTGCTTCCTCCTTGAAGGAGCTCAGTTCCTTCTGGGCTATCTTTCCACCTTCACCTCTGCTCAGATCCCTGCTTCCTGTCTTGACACAACGCAGCATCCTGCGAGCCCTTGTCTCCAGGGCAGACCTTCAGCCCCGGGAATTTGTCCCGGCCTGGCCCCGGCTGGGAGCCAGCACGCCGAGTCGCAGGACTCCACACCCTCGCTTTGCAGCGGCAGGAGCTCAGACCCGTTGGTGTGGATGACCTTTCAGCATTTTTGTATCAAGCACCCGCTGCGTGCCAGGCACAGTGCTGGGCCCAGAGGATGGGGCAGCGAGCAAGATCGCCTTGTCCCTGCTGTTGCAGAGCTGATATTCTGGTGAGGGGGGAAAGCATCACCCAAATTAAGCACCCTATGTCAAGGGCTCAGGTGTGAGGAGGCAGAATCAAGCAGAGTCAGGGGCCATGTGATGGTGCAGTGTGGTCCCGGGCCTCTGGTGAGATTGGGGAGAGCAGGGCCTTGTCAGTGGGGAGCTGTGTAGACCCCCAGTGACAGTGTTCCAGCGAAGACCCCCAAGGGAGGGCGCGTGAGGATGAACAAGGAGGCAGTCAGGCGGGATGGAGCACAGTGGCCTGGCAGGGTGGCGGGTGGGCTGGTATGCGCGGACGGATGGATGGTTCTGCACCTCGGGCCCATCAGGGAGCACGTAGGAAGTGCGGTTCCAGGTTTCCATGCTGGAAATTCACAGATTTTCCAGCAGTGGGGCCAGGTGTTAGAAATTTAAAAAAAAAAAATTGTGGGTGGGGGGGCCTGCACGCCCTCTGCAGCATGTCAGATCTTAGTTCCCTGACCAGGGATCAAACTTGCACCCCCTGCATTGGAAGCATGGAGTCTTATCACTGGACCACGAGGGAAGCCCCATCAGAAAAGTTTTTAAAAGCTGCCCAGTTGACCCCAGTGTGTAGTCAGGTTGGAGTCCTATGGGGCATGGGAGGGACTCTGGATCTCACTTTGAGCTGGGAAGCCCCTGACCCCTGCTTTTAAAGGCTGAGAGAGGCCAGTAGCATCCAGGGACGCCCTCCCACACAGACACTGGGAGGCTTCATCTGAGGAGCTCAGGAGTGGAGGAGGAGCCTGCCCTGGGAGCGGAGCCCTGAGACGGGACTCTCATTCCCTTTCCTGCAGTGAGTCTGAGGCTCTGCGCCCCGCGGCGCTCACACCCCCGCCCCTGCCGCCCTGAGGCGCGGGGCTCACAGGACAACCCCTTCTGGGCCACGTGGGCAGCTGGCACCTGGCTTGTCTGCTGCGTTCCTGGCAGCTGGGAGCAGGCCTTCACCCTCCGGCCACCTGGGGGCATGGCTGACAGGCCAGGCCCCCTGCCGTTGCCCTGCCCCTCCTCGGGACCCTCCGGAACTCCCCACCAACCCAGCAGGCGGCTTTGGGCACTGGGGGCCCAGCTGCCACGCCAGCATTGTGGGTGACACCCTGTTCCAGAGAGAGCTCTCTTCAGACAGGAAAGGGACAGGCGGCAGCTCGGAGGGGCTGCAGAAGCCACTTGTCCGCTTCCTGGTGCCTTCTATCTCTCTGCCCCTTCCCCTTTCTGCTCCTTCCCCCGTCCCTTCCTCTTGCTGGGGGGGGGCCCCCTGCAGTAACACATGTCCAGAGGTGGATCATCTGACGTGGCCTCTGCCTTAAGGAAGCCTCTCCTAGCCGCTCATCCAGCCCCCAGCCCCTGGGAAGTTCTCTCGACGCCGGGCACCATCGCTTTCTCCTGCACCCGCGTCCGCCTCGTCCTGGTGAGGTCAGCATGAGGCGTGGCTGTGCAGTAGCTGTGTCACTCGGGGGCCCATCCGAGGGGCAGGGACACGCTCAGCCCTCTAGAATGCCATCAGCGCTCCCCGCCTCCCCCGCTCAAGCTTCTAGCCCAGCCCCTCATCTTCCTGTCTCTGAGCTCCTCCCACCCACATTCACTCATTATTCATCCAAGACTTCCTGACCACACGCTGCACTCTCTCTCCAGTATCTGGGACACTAGCTCTACCCTGACTTAGACCCCACTTGCAGGAACTCGGAGTCTCAGTGTCAGTTAGGATGTGGTCTTTGCTTCCTCTCATGAGGTCTGGGTTACTTGGGGGAGAGGGAGTTGTTCATTTGAAAAAAAATGTACCACGAATTTTTTTTTTGCTTTTCTTTTCTTCAGACACAACCAAGACTTTATACCATCCATGTTTTCCCTGGAGAAGGGGTCAGTGGGGTCCTGGGTTTCCAGGGAAGAGTCTTGCACATCCAGGGCTCCAAAATACAAGAATCTGGATTCAGATCCCTGCTCTGCTGTTTGCAAGCTGATTAAATTAGATCATACTTTTTTTTCTTGCAGTCTTCACCGTTGATAAGATCTTGATTAGCAAAAATGTATTAAGTACTTTCTACCTAAAAGATTTTGCAAGAGTTTAGGATGACCTCATCCCAGTTTTATTTCCACAGAGCTTTAAGTATAGCTGGGGAAGTAA